CAAGGCCATCCTAGGCGGCCATAGCAAGGCCATCCTAGGCGGCCATAGCAAGGCCATCCTAGGTGGCCATAGCAAGAACATGGCTTGAAAATCACAAACTTGGTTCTTAGAGGCTGAGCTCAGAAAACAAAGGCAAATCACAGACTTGGAGGGAATCTCTCCAAAATGTGTATCAAATAGAACTTACATCCAGAATCTCTAAAGAACTTTTATAACTCAAACAATAGACACCACATTGAGGAAGATATGCAGATGATAGATAAGTTTACAAAACAGTGCCCGTATTAATTTTGAGGGAAATGCACGTAAAACTATAGTGAGATACCACTACACTACTAGAGATAGGACTGAAATGAAAGGGACGACGCAGCTGGAACCACTTGTACACGGCTGGTAGAAGTGTAAGTTCGTACCATTGTTTACCCGGTGCCAGGGACTCTCCCACGGGAGCAAACTTACCTAACACGTCAGGGGTTTCATTGCAGGACCAAGAAAGAAAGGGAAAGGAAGGATAAGTGGTGGGAAGCAGGGAGGGTAATGCTTAAACAGTGTCTTAAAAAACTAAATGTTCATCTCGTACAACCAAGCCACTCCTTTTTACTCAATTGAAATGAAAGTATATTTCAACACATGGTCTTAATTACTGTTGTTCATAGATGCTTTATTTGTAACTCTCAAAAACTGAAAACAAAAATGTCTACAACATTTGGACAGTCAACAAATCGTGCTATATCTGTGCTGTGGACTGTTGGTAATAAAAGAAATGATGTGTTCATATACATGATAGAATGGACGAGTCTCAATACCAAATAAAAGAAACAATAAAATAAGGGAGCACATGGTTCCATTCTCAGTCTCCGCTCCCTTCTCCTTACCACTCTTTCTAAGGTAATGGATATATGATTTTTTACCACAATGGTAGCTGCATGGTATAGACAGATAGACTGAACAGATGTGCCTTCCGTTCATACGTTTTTGTCTTTTTGAGACAGGTTCTCTCTCTAGCCCGGGGTGATCGCCCATCATGGCGTCTTTCTGAGATTAGAGATGCGAGCCCTAAGCCTGGCTGGTTCATATGCACACTTTTTGAAATTCATTTTAATATATATATATACACACACGCATGTGCACACACACACAGACACACATTACTATATACAAGAAAATGGGACCTTCAGAGGCTAGAAGAGGGAGTTGGAACCCCTGATGTTAGAATTCCAGGTAGTTGTGAGCCACCTAACATGGGTTCTGGGAGCAAAACTCAGTATGTGCTCTTAACATTGAGCCTTCTCTCTAGTCCCTAGATGTGCTTTTTAGATATGTATGTTCTAACCAGGTATGGTAGTGTATGCATAAAATACTAATATGTTGGAGTCAGAGGCAGCAGTGTAGTTCAAGGTCAGGCTGCTCAGCCTAGCTAGAGGCCAGATAAGGCTACCTCGTAAGACCCTGTCTCAAAAGAACAAGTAAGTCTACTTTATTAAATCTATAAAAAGTGAATCAGCTGCGATTATATTTTAAGCAACTCACCACCCTTTACCTTCCTCAGCAGTGATGTTTGCAGATTTGATCAAGGTGTCCCCTCCCCAACAGACACCTCTGTATTATCACTTCACTTGTCTTCAAAGCATTTATAGCTGATAGTGCTTTCGGTTCCTGCCCCAACTATACTGTAAGTTTCCTGGGACCAGGGCTTTGTCTTATTAACTGCCTCCCACTGAAGTGCTTAGAATATGTCCAACACACATGAAGAACTTAGTATATTCTGTGATATAGGGGTGTGTGTATGTGTGTGAAATACTCTGCCTAACACATAAAGAACCTCATATATTCTGTGATGTAGAGGTGTGTGTGTGTGTGTGTGTGTGTGTGTGTGTGTGTGTGTAAAACTCTGCCTGACACATTAAGAACCTCATATATTCTGTGATGTAGGTGTGTGTGTGTGTGTATGTGTGTATGTGTGCTCAGTGCCTGGCAGAGGATGTGATTCAATGTTAATAGATTCTCCCATCACTTAAAAATCTCATCACTGAGAAATTGTTGGGCAAGTATATCAGGCTATCTCCTTCATATACTTAACAGAATTGGTGGACCATTCTCTCTCAGCACCTTTAAATAGCTAAACGTTCAGCACTATCTAGGCGCAGTGGTGAACCTGCTGTCGCTGCAGCTCCTGGGAGGCTGAGGCCTGAATAACAACGTAGCAAGACCCTCCTCAAAAAATCTTTTTAAGTATGTAATACATGGTTAACAAAGACATTAAATTGATAAATGGGTTTGTTCTTCGTCTCCTGAGAACTTTTCTCTCTCATAAAAATGATGGTTTCCAGCTCTCACATGATCTGGTCACAATGTGACTTGAAGGTTTGTCATTTTGCTTTTCTTTTCTCCACAGGGTGTATCCATGGCTTAGAGGACTAGGTTATACATCCTTGACTATCTTTTTGTTGGGATTTTTATTGTGGAATGTAGATAACATCTTTTGTGATTCACTGAGGTAAGATATATTTTCATTCCTAGGAAATAATTTTGGAAGCATTATATTAAGCAGAGAATTTTGTGGGCATTTTAGTGTCCTAAAATGAATTTTCACCAGTGTTGACACTGTGTAGCACAGGAAAATTAAACTCTGGGAATACCTATTTTAAATTGCCTGAAAGTTTAAACCTCGGAATATTTTATAATCTTGGATTAGTTTGTATGTGTGCATCAAAAACTAATGGCGAATCAATCCCACACCAGTTAGGTTTTAAAGGGGTATTTATTTTGGGGGGTAAAACTTACATACACATAAACCGTCAGGAAAGGAGCCTAGTCGCTGGAGCAGGAGCCGGAACCAAGCGCTGGAAACAAGAGAGGCCGAGCCGAGGCTTGCCGCTCTTTTTTTTAAAGAGAAATATACCACGCCCCAGTGGGCTGGTATTTTAGCAGCTATTGGCTGAAGGAGTGGAAGGTGCTCCCGCAGCACCTCCCCCTTTTGTTTAAGTAAGAGAGTTCTAAGCCTACTACGAAATTATATACAGTAATTACAGACCTAAAAAATTATATACAATAAGTACAAATATCCTATTCTAACTAGCTAAAGTCTTGTATAATAAATAACTTGGCCAAGTCATGAGAGGAAAGTAGCTACATTTATCTAGTCTTCAACCCCATAGAAGATCCGAGAAGGGAAATAATGTTACCTGAGTAATTAGGAAGTGCAATCAAAGAACTTCCAAAACATGCAACAAATCACAGAGACAACTGGCTACCTGGGCAATCACCAAAGACCTGTTTGCAGCGTTGAAGCAACCAACTTTGACTAAGGCCTAGAATAACTGACAGATTATTTTTAACAGGCAAGAGATTTTTCAAAACCATCTTACCCTGTCTTGGCAAGATTTAACAGTTCTGTTTATCCGTTTCTGGATTTTATCCATTTCCGGATTTTAACAGGCAAGAGATTTTTCAAAACTGTCTTACTCTGTCTTGGTAAGATTTGACAGTTCTGCTTATCCATTTCCGGATACCGTATATTTGTCAGTAGTTGAGGTATGGGCAGTTCCTTGCTCAGAGGCCAGTTTTGTCAAGAAGACAAGCTCCAAGTGGAGTGTCTTTGGTGCTCAACAATCTCTCGGGAATAGGTCGGTGTTGCCAGGAGTGATTGTGTCTCACTACACAGAACTCTAAGATTAAATTAAATGCCATTTTCTACAGCTCTTCGAAGAGGTTGAAGACTATTTATATATAATCTGTATGTATCTAAAGAACCTGATTAGTCTAACCATAAATATGACAGACAAAGATGACTATTGATCTACAATTCTTAACATGTATCTAACTTAAAGACTAAGAGAATAAACAACTGTGCAATAAATGAGGACAATGACCTCCAAATGTAAACAATAAATATCAATACATAAACAATATATGAGTATCTTAATTAGAGGTAGAAATGTACACTGCAATATGGTATACATATATCAATACAATATATATCAATACATAAAAAATGTTTTAAACAGGTAGAAGCATGCATACATACATTATTCAATATAATTTAACTTTGTATCCATATACAAAAATCTATGCCGATGTAATTATCTATAAACAATAACTCACAAATACCATTATTATCTATCCAATTTTCCCTCATTTTTTAAAAAAAAGATCCCTGAGCTTATAAAATTCCTTTCCCAACTTTCAACTGTATACTAATTATAATCAATCCCTAAATATTGTTCCTAAACCTGAGGACAAACTTTGCTGAGAGAGGGGACATCGTCCTCTAGAATTACTTCCCGCTGTCATGGGGATGAGGTTCTTTCTGGAGGATCCTGTGAAAGTAAAATGATGGTTAAATTTCAAGATCAATGTCTTTTAAAATTGCAAATAGTCTCTGAGTATTTTGTGGAGGTCTGGCCAGAATGTTGTACAAGATGTGCACCATTTCAACTAACCAAGTTGGAATCATCTGTGCAGCGGATACCCGGAACAGGACTTGTAGTAGCACTATCAGTCTCATGATGTCATATCAACTGAGTGGAGTTGTTGTTATGGGGGTCCCATCTTCTTCCTGGAAACTTCAAAAGTCAGTGCATGAAAAACTCATTGTTCATTGTGGAAAACTTAAACATTAATTATATAGACATATACAAACATATATTCAATGAAAGGTATGATAGACATATTCAGTGAAAAGTATGATAGATATGAAGAAAAGCAAAGATGTTTTCTAAACTCATATTTCTTTCTGTCTCATATCATGGCTCTTGACATAAGACAGAAACTCCAGAAACTCTGGGTTTTTCTCCTAACAACAGGCTTGGAATTAGAGAGGGAACGAGCCAAGAGTCCAACTCCAAAACCAGCTCTATAAATTCAGAAATATGATTTAGTATATTCCAGAGCTTCATACTCACAGAACCTATTAAGTTTTCTTGATAATCTATATTGGGTAGTTATTTTTCCATCTGTCAGTATTCAAACATCCAGGGTCCTTTGAATTTTTCAAAGACGAGTGTTTTCCTGTGGAGATAAGAACAGAACCCTGCCCCCATTCTATGTTTTTCTTACCACCTGTATGGTTATCATCATTGTAGATGTTGTCATTTCTCCTTTCCAAGAGATTTCTTCTCTTCAAATCTAAACTTTAATAATTTTGATGGTATCCACAATTTTTCTTCTCCTGTAGAAACAAGAGCAAAACCCCTTCCCCAACGTAGCACATCTTCTGGCTTCCATTGAGAGGTCAGCACATCCTTGATATAAACCGGTTGATTTAGTTCAGCAGACTTTTCCATTATCCAATGTCTTTCTGCCACTGTTGTTCCCTTCTCATTAGCGTTAAGAAAATTCAAGGTTAATAAGGCATTATGTAATCTATTTCTGGGGGCATTTTTCACCCCTTCTGTTTATTTAACATATCCTTTATAGTTCGATTTGATCTTTCTATGACTGCTTGACCTGTAGGATTGTATGGTATACCTGTAACATGCTTAATATTATAATAAGCAAAAAACTGTTTTCATTTTCCTAGATACATAAGCTGGACCATTATCTGTTTTTATTTGTGCAGGTATACCCATAATGGCCATAACTTCTAATAAATGTGTGATTACTGAGTCAGCTTTTTCTGAGCTTAAAGCAGTTGCCCACTGAAAGCCTGAATACGTGTCAATGGTGTGATGTACATATTTTAATTTTCCACATTCTGCAAAGTGGAACACATCCATCTGCCAGATTTCATTCCTTTGAGTACCCTTTGGGTTAGTCCCTGCAGGTAGTAGTGTTTGGTTATATAAAGAGCAAGTAGGGCATCTCTTTACAATCTCCTTAGCTTGTTGCCATGTAATGGAAAACTCTTTCTTTAAACCTTTGCTATTGACGTGATGTTTTTTATGAAATTCTGAGGCCTGCAACACGCTTCCAATCAATAATTGATCAATTTCTGCATTACCTTGTGCTAGAGGACCTGGCAGACCCGTATGGGACCGGATGTGTGTTATGTATATCGGGCAAAGCCTATTCCTGATTATGTCTTGTACCTGGATAAACAGTGAAGTCAACTCTGTATCATCTGGTATAAATTCAACAGTTTCAATATGCAAGATAACTCTTTCTGCATATTGTGAATCTGTAACAATATTAAGAGGTTCTTTAAAATCCCTTAGCACCATAAGAATGGCATATAATTCTGCCTTCTGGACAGAAGTATAAGGGCTTTGTTCCACCTTACTCAATTCATCTGATTTGTAACCAGCCTTCCCTGATTTATTAGCATCAGTATAAAATGTACGGGCTCCAGTTATTGGAGCATCACGTACAATTCGAGGAAGAATCCAAAAAGTTCTCTTTATAAGGTTAAGTCTACCGCTTTTTAGATAGTTGCTATTAATTTCTCTCAAAAAATTAGCACAAGCCCTTTGCCATGGTTCATTGTCTTCCCATAACTTTTTTATCTCATCAGTAGTGAAAGGCACTATAATTTCTGCTGGGTCTATACCTGCTAGTTGACGAAGTCTCAGTTTACCTTTTATAATTAATTCAGAGACCTTTTCTACATAAGTTTTCAATTTTTTACTTGGTTTGTGTGGTAAAAAGATCCATTCTAAAATAGTATCTTCCCTCTGCATTAAAATTCCCGTAGGAGAAATTCTGGAAGGCAATATGACTAGAATGCAACTAAGATTTGGATCCACCCTATCTACATGTGCCTCCTATAATTTTTCCTCAACCATGATCAGTTCCTTTTCTGCTGCAGCTGTTAATTCTCTGGGACTATTCAAATCTTTGTCACCATCTAAGGTTTTGTTTAAATGAATTACTAGATCAGGTGTTATCCCAACAGCTGGTCGTAGACTGGAAATGTCTCCTAACAATCTCTGAAAATCATTAAGAGTCTGTAACTGGTCTCTTCTAATTTGTGCCTTATGTGTCCTAATTTTCTGTAAACCTATTCTGTAACCTAGGTAATTAACAGAATCTCCTCTTTGAATCTTTTCAGGAGCAATTTGTAATCCCCATTTAGGCAAAATTATCTTTACTTCCTCAAACACTCTTTCTAAAGTATTTATGTTTGAATCAGATAGCAAAATGTCATCCATGTAATGGTATATTATAGATTTAGGGAATTGCTTACATATTATTTCCAATGGCTGAAGTACAAAGTATTGACACAGGCTGGGGCTATTGAGCATTCCCTGTGGGAGGACAGTCCACTGGTATCTCCTACTAGGCTGGGAGTTATTATAAGTAGACACTGTGAAGGCAAATTTTTCTCTATCCTTTTCTTGTAATGGTATGGTAAAGAAGCAATCCTTCAAGTCAATAACTATAAGAGGCCATCCTTTGGGTAACAGAGAAGGCAGAGGAAGTCCAGACTGTAGAGGGCCCATAGGCTGAATTACCTTGTTGACAGCCCTTAGATCTGTCACCATTCTCTATTTGCCAGATTTCTTTTTTACAACAAACACAGGAGAATTCCAAGGGCTAGTGGACTCCTCAACATAAGCA